GAAGCTGAAAAACCTATAGGAAATCTGGAGCGTGGGAGAGCAGCAGGCCCTGACAGGTTTAACCCTGAGATTTTTAAGGATGGCGGTCCAGTATTAGCAGCGAGATTGACTGAGGTCTTAGGTAGAATCTGGGAACTGGACGTAATCCCATCTGACTGGTCTCAATCACTGATTGTGCCAGTTTATAAGAAAGGACAAAAGTCCTCCTGTGACAATCACAGAGGAATTAGTTTGACTAATATAGTGTCTAAAATATTAGCTTCAATAATACTTCGACGTCTAACCAAAGCTCGTGAAGAGCAGACTAGAGAAAACCAGGCTGGTTTTCGACCTGGACGTGGTTGCATTGATCAAATATTCACATTACGTCAGGTCCTAGAACATAGACACACATTCAGACGTCCCACAATGGTAGTATTTCTCGACCTTGAGGCGGCATTTGACTCTGTTGATCGTAAGGTTCTATGGCAATGTTTGTCACTGAAGGGAGTACCAAAGAAGTACGTCAACCTTATAAAGGCTCTCTACTGGAACACAACTGGTCGAGTGAGAGCTTATGGTGAACTGTCATCAGAATTGATTACCTCAAGTGGTGTTCGTCAGGGCTGTCCACTCTCTCCATTCTTGTTTAACTTTGTCGTTGACGTCCTTTTAGAGATGACACTTTCCTCATCTAAATTTCCAGGAGTTGAACTTCTACCGGGAGATCCACTTGTTAACTTAGAATATGCCGATGACATAGTTCTATTTGATGAAGACGCTGACAGAATGCAGAATCTACTAACCACTCGAAGCAACAACGCAAGCATGTTCGTCATGCGATTTTCTCCCTCGAAATGCAAGATGTTGCTTCAGGATTGGGTTGCGTCGACACCCGAACTAGTGATAGGGAGTGAAGTTGTTGAGCGTGTCGACCGCTTCACTTATCTCGGAAGTCTCATCAGCCCTTGTGGTTTGGTGTGTGACGAAATCTCAGCACGGATACAAAAGGCTCGACTAGCTTTTGCCAACTTGCGTCATTTGTGGCGTAGGCGAGATATCCGTCTATCAACCAAAGTACGTGTTTACTGCACAGCAGTTCGTTCCGTCCTACTTTATGGCAGTGAAACATGGCCGATAAGAGTAGAGGATATTCGTAGGTTACTAGTATTTGATCATAGATGTCTTCGAAACATTGCTCGTATATCCTGGGACCACCGAGTAAGTAACTCAGTTGTTATGAAACGGGTACTAGGTAAGATGGCAAATCAATTGATGAAGGAGTGAAACTTAATCAGTTGAGATGGCTGGGACATGTGTTGCGCATGCCCGACCACCGACTGCCCCGACGTGCTATGTTTTCTGGCGTAGGAGTAGGTTGGAAGAAAGCTAGGGGCGGCCAGACCAAAACATGGCAGAAATCCATGAAGTCACTGACAAGTGGACTGAGTCATGTTGGTAGGTGTAGACTACCTGGTTGGGGACCGCGAGACGATAGCAACCGATGGTTAGAGACCTTGAATGACATGGCTCAAAATCGTTTGCAATGGCGCAGGTGCATCCGCTCTTTGTGTTCTCTCAATCTCTAATCTTCTGAATTCTTCATGTCCTTTATTTTCTTCCCCAATTTATTCCACTGGACTATATTCCTCTAATAACATCACCAAACCTTCATGTCCCCTTTCTCTACTTATACTTTCAGTACCTCTACCACTATGGGATTTGAATTGAAAACTGAATCTCTGTGCTAATGTGGTATGGCAACTCGAACTGATGTACGTACGTACGAAGTTCCACGTTGTTACTGACTGACTGTCTCTGACTTTATTAGATTAATATTACCACCCATACACCGACAGTCAGTTATTTTCCAATCACCACATTCTAAGAACCCTAATTTATTTCATTCTTTTGTCCTATGACAATCAGGATGATGAATGTAATCTTGATCGCATCCCGAATACTCATGGTTCATACTAATTACAAAGGAAGCACCCGAAAATGATTGGACTCTCGTTTAATACATAATTTTTTGACGCTTGGTAATTTCTACTAATTTCCTGATGGAGCTTGTAAATTGGCTGCTAAACTCAATGTTTAAGCCAACTAGGTTCTAATATCTGAAGATTTTTAGGGAACAGTTTTTAAACTCAGTGAAATAAATATATTATGCGTAGATAGTCTATGAGTAACAGGATGAAGAATAGTGATTAACAGCCAGTCAGTTATAAGGAACGTAGAACCTGGTAGGTATTTGTGTCGGAAGAAGTTGCCATATCATAACACGGGGAGATGAAATTATCGCGTTAAGTATCAAAGCAGTAGAATTAGTATCACTGGCAGTACAAATGATTAAGCGTAGTTAGGATGGTTCGAGAAGAGTGAGTTCGTGAAATAAAAGTTATAAATTAATTGACAGGAACGAAAACTATTCTGGTTTGAAGTTCTGCAAAAATCTGTAAATGTAATAATAGTCTACCTTAGTTTTCTATTTAATACTTACGTGTGATTACTTTAATCTTTTATTAATTGATGTCATTTGAATTAAATTACTGACTATTAGTAAGTACTATGGTTTGGAATCTTGGTTATTCATCAAAATTAGATTTATAGCTTCAGGTTGTTCATGTTTTCTATCGATTAAATTATTTCCTGTCATCCTGATAACCACCTTGAGAGAAAGGCTTTCGAATTATTGTAAGCTGCTTTGGATAATTTAAAGGATGACTTTTTTGTATGGACAATTTAGTTTGTAAGTTCTTATATTGGGGAATTTAAATCCTATGATAAAAATTTGTTCTTTTGCAATTCAGTCTCTTACTCTTATTTTTAGTTTCTATGTGAGACATTACAAATCTACGGAAACCGTACACAGCTTTGCGTTTTTAATATTTAACTTTTTTTAAATCTAATTTTTCTACAGCTTAAAGACAGTTTTGATACCTTTCGAACTATCCTAACTTGTTTCTTGAAATTTCAAAACGTTAATCTATAATTTGAAAGATACTAGTGAACAATATACTTTACTGATTTTCCAGTCAAGTTTGTATATCTCCTCAATGTTGCTGACTCATAATCTTAATGTATATAGTTTTTAATTGACACCGTGAGCGAACCAATGTTAAACCACTATCGGAAACCTGGAATCACTGAACGCCCGTCTCGTCCCATTACGGGACTACTCAGCAATCCACACCCACGATCCTACACTCGGTTATGGGACCCTAGAACTTCAGTCTCGCGCGCGAACGCCTAACCTCTAGACTACTGGGTCGGCACCCAATGGCGTTAATATCTAACTTCAACCAATCCACGAAATTGCGCCACCGTCCACCATTGTCTTCAGTAAGTAACTGCCTCACAACAGACACAGTTGAACTCCACTGGTCACAGCTTCTCACTAGAACTCCAGGAGATTCATCTTAAAGCTAGTCACTAGTTAGCACATGGTCAATCTAAACTTACCAATCTCCACAACCCTGTACCGATAAAATTAAATTGTCAGTTTAGTAAATAAGTTTACTGTCGTGTGTAGACGTACTACTGTTTGTATCTAACAAACTCTATTAACTTATATTTGTTTTTGTCTCCATATAGGAAAAAGTCACTGATAATTAGTTAATTATTTTCACAGTTGCTTTGTGGAGATCTGTGAATCTATCGAAACTTGTCAAAGTAACTTTTAGAAGTACTTTAAGTATTGATGGTCTTGAAATTGTTTCGTCAAAAGGAGGTGATGAAAAGGCGCACTAAAAATATAATAATTCTGAACTGGTATGCAAGCGAGCTAAAAATCTAAAGCAAGGGAATCGACTGGTAACCGGTGAAAAAGCATGACTAAAATACTATTCCTGATATGAAGGACTTTAAAGAATAAATGCATTCACATTGCCTTGGTCAGTAATAACAACCGTTATTCTTCATCGATCTTTTGTAAGCCGCAACAACAAAACTAATCGTGGTATATACGGGTTAGTCTGGTAGCCTGTCACTTTCTAAAATGGTTTCATTCTTCAGTTTCACTGATGACTTTTGTTTATGCTTATTAAGATAACTAAATAGTCTGAATGAATCAGCCTATACTTTCATATCCCTTTTCTGTATTCATTTGGGATTCCCCCTAACATTAACTTCTATATTTTTATATTTTCAGCTTATTAAAATTCCACTACATGTTCTAGTTTCAAGTAAATCTGCAACCGGTTGTACTTTCTACTTTATTTTTATTCATCCGAATTAATGGTAACATATTAACTTTAGGGATTACGACATACTAATTGGAAATACTTGAATAATGCATCTGTAAATGCTGGTTGGTGAATATTCATTCGTACTACCTTTTGCTAACAAACATTAAACTGTTCAGTTTTGCCTTAAAGGTATTAGTATCAATAATTCCTTTTCCGTGTTTCAAAGAGTTAGTTTTCAAAAATTTTATTTTTTACATATATAGTTTTTCTCTGTGACTTGAATCAAAAAAAGATATTATGAAATAATGGATGGTTGTTCCTTTTTGATTTCAATTATGTCAATACTATGTACTTTGCGCCTACGAGTTTGTGTTCTGTATATTCAGATTCCAACTTTGACTCATGAAGTTAAGAATTTCGCTCATTACTAAGTGTTTATTTTAAGTTGATACTCAGTTAATATTTACCTATAACTCATTACTCCAACCTTACTACAAAATCCTGCTGGGCAACCTTTACAACTGAGGTGTGAGACAAATCGTTAACTCTCAAGATCTCTATAATATCATGTGTTTGCCGCCAATCCAGTGGTTGGAGGTACCTTTTAAACTATAGTAGGTTTGTATTTTGTGAACATGATATTCATTTTGAAAATCCGTCGGCTTCGGAATTACAGACTGGGTAAGAACGATTATTTATTTCAGCTAATTATAGTTATCGATAGCCAACTCTTTTTGTTCTATCCCATAAAATTAATTGAGTGTGACATACATCTCTGTTTTACATCACTTGTTATTTATAGAATTTTATAACTATTGTAATAAAACTCACTTTTTTGTTTGTGAAGTAATATTCAATTTTCTTTCCTTTATGTAATAAATTCCGTATAGGGTTAAACTGACCAATCACATGTGAACAGCATTAATGATGATAAATGTTCATAAGTACATGTGAACTCGGCGTATGTTACTGGTATGTTTTCGTCCGGGTGTAGTAATAATTACAATTTAAACATCAAAGTAGCATGTCTTTCTTCTGAATCATAATGACTTCCTCATTTTCGGTGTTCTAATTTAATACATTTACATAAGAATGCATCTATATCTTAACATATAATAGCTTACAATTATTTTATGTGTTACTTATTGTTTTTTCATAAGAAAACCAATCCTTTTTCATTCAATTATTCTTTTTCCCACTAATAGTACTATTTTAGCATTTATTAATGTCCTTATTGGACAGTTCACCACATACATTAGAGCTTATATCACAACAATTAATTCTACTAGTTACCTGTCCTAATTCTGTACTGACGATATATTGGTTCATAATACCGTTGCGGTTGGCTGCTAATCGACCAATGAGATTATATATATATATATATATATATATATATATATATATATATATATATATATAAAGCTGGTAAAAATCTATTTAACTATAATTGCTAGGTAATCAATCATAAGGATGGGATGACTAAAATGTGGGAGCTGGGCCCATAAAAATTACCAGATTTTTCGTGATAAATAGTTCTTTTTGTTTTCCAATTCGATCTTTTTTGTCTATCTCAAAAGTAATGGTGAATTCGATAAGCATGACAAATCTAATTAGTCATCTCAGGGTTTTATGCGTTACGTTTGAATTTTGCCACGATGTTTATGATATTTACTTGGTCATCAAAGTTATTTGTCATTTAATCCAACTAACCTAAACGGTAGTTTACCTATTGGCGATAAGTTACAGTTAATAATTGTTTCGGTTTATAACTGAGGTGAATTCAATCACGCCTCATGTTTCCTGACTTCAATCATCGTGTTTTTATCAATAAGAATTCCATCCCTAAATAGTCTGCTAGTTGGTATTTTTCAATTACAATAATGCCAATTTTAAAAGAAAGACCAAACTAAGCAGCTGTTTAATTATTTACATTGCTGTCTTTATAAAAACATTGAATGATTGAAGTCAGATGGTTTTACTTTTAGAATCTTACAATGGAGGTTAGTTCAGCTTGTAATCCGTAACCCACTATCTACTAATGATTTTATTACTGTAATGCGGGAATTCTAGTCTTTTATTTCTGAACAAGTGGTTCGCAATGAGAATCTTAAAGTTTTACTGTTTTTAGTGTAGTTTAGTTGTGTGCCAATAATATAGTATAAAGTACTGTGTGAAATTTGACTCGAGGTTATTTCGTAATTTGCTAGTAATAGGTGTTTCCTACATATAAATACTTACAAATACCTATAAATGCGATTGTACAGCTCCAGAAAATATCGTTGAAAAGAAAATTTTCTTATGTGAAATGTCTTCATTTTTAATGAATCAATGGGTTCCGTTGACTCCCGTCCGTTTGTGTTTGAAAATATTTTTATTTTCGATTCAATTATCCGGCTAGCGAAATTCGTGGAGTCTTTTCCATCTCTCATTCGAGATTTCAAATTATCGAGTTTTTGTAGGACTTTCAGGCCTCCGAATCCCAAGTTTGTAGTTGCTATTTTGACCGTTGAATCATGAATTTGAAACTGTTTTCACATATTCTCACAGGACGTAGCCGAGTGCTAATCAGAAGAGGCACACCACTATTTACGTGCATTATTTCTAAAAAAGTAGAAATTAATTATCTCGTTGCATTCCTAATTTGCTTGTTTTCATTCTAGATCAAATTATTAATATTACTACAAATTATTAATTAACGATATGGGTCGTTCAGACAGTCGTAAACGTGGACGTAATACAAAGTCTGTCAAAGAATCGGATTCAAAGAGAACTAGGACAACTATTTATCGACCTGAAGATGAAGATACTACTATGTCAGGCTCACTGGATTTTGATAATGAATCTAATGAAGATGTTTATGATAATAGCGAGGTGAATGATTTTAATATCAGGAAAATTGGTAAGATCGGCTCAGAGATTGATGACGATTTGGATGATAATGTTGAACATAATGATAATGACGATGATGATGCTGATATCGATGAATATGAATCGGGTATAATGGATGCAGATGAGTTACGCGTTGCTTCAAGAGCGCAAATTACAAAAACCCGTCAGCAACATGATTCTTCAGTGAATAAACCTACAGAGACAACAGTTGTTTGCACACCGAAAGATGAATTCGGTGCTAAAGATATGAGGAATATATTAAAATTACGTTTAGATCATCCATCTCGTCCATTATGGATAGGTCCAGACGGACACATTTTTCTCGAAACTTTCAATCCATTGGCTCGTCAAGCTCAAGATTTTTTGATTGCTATTTCAGAACCAGTCTGTCGACCTTTACACATACACGAGTACAAACTCACTTCTTATTCATTATATGCAGCTGTTTCAGTTGGTTTACGTACTGGTGAGATAATTGGTTGTCTACGTCGTTTATGCAAAACTAATCTACCAGAAGGTATTGTTGCATATATTCGTAGTTGTACATTATCATACGGAAAGGCAAAATTAGTTTTAAAAGGTGGTCGTTATTTTGTTGAAAGTCCCCATCGTCAATTTTTACATCAGTTAGCAAATGATAAAACTGTACAACAATGTTTGAATAAAACAAAGATTATTACAGAAGATGATGATATTAAACAACAAGTAGTGGAAGTTGTAAAATTGTATAATTCTGCGTCATTAGTAATACAGCCACAACACCAGCAAGAAGATAGCAGAGAAATTCCAGCAGATAAAGAAACTGGTGCACAAGATGAAATGTTACGTCTTTATGCTCGTTTGGATGCAGATGAAGAAGCAGGTGAAACAAATTCTATCATTATTGATACAACAAAAAAATCAGGGAATAACTTCTGGGAACAACCTAGCGATACTGTAAATATTAATGCAATCGGTATTGAATCAGATGTTGCTGACCGTGAAGGTGAGTTGATGGATATAAAAGATAATGGAAACATTATGGGTATAAAATTGGTTTTTGATTCATCTGTTCCAAATGATCCGAAAACTTCAGCTGTACTTGCTTTGGAAGTGAATCAAGATCAAATTGAAATTCTTCAAAGAAGATGTATTGAATTAGAAGTACCATTATTAACAGAATATGATTTTCGTTTGGATCGTGCTAATAAAGACATTTTAATTGATTTAAAAGCCAGTACAACATTAAGACCATATCAAGAAAAAAGTTTACGAAAAATGTTTGGTAATGGTCGAGCTCGTTCTGGTGTTATTGTTTTACCCTGTGGAGCTGGTAAAACATTGGTATGTCATTCGCGTTTATATATAGTATTATAGTTTGTGGATTATCTTAATAGTTAGATAAACTTTTTACTACAGTTCCTCAGTGTGCTTATCAGATCTAAGATCTAAGTTACGCGGGTATTTTGGATACTAATGAAGTAATGAGTCTTAAATTCTATTTATTTGAAATTTACCGCCATTAAAAAGATGTTTCTTTTTTCCTACAAACTATGAACTACCGAAAGCTAGAAATTCTTGTTCAAGCGTAAAAATTATTTTAACATTTCAAATTTCTATGAATGATGGATTGTTTGAAAGTGTTCAGAACCCAGACTCATACATAAGATCTATGTTGTTATCAGTTTATTTCGTTAATTTAGATTTCTCTTTCTTTTGATACCTTGTTACTTTTGTTCTGTTAAGGTCAGAAATAAGAAAAAAAATCAGTAGGAGAAAATTGTTGCTTTACTTTTCTGTTTTTTTATTACAAAAAAAGTCATGTCATACTGCGCTCAAAGGAAGTAACGGAAATAAAATAATACATACAGTTATATTTTAAGATTAATGATTTTATTTATTTCATATGCTTACTCATTAGATCATTTTCCATTTCCTAATCTTTGTTTATGAGATTGTAGTGTAGTCAAATGGTTAAGGTTTTTTTATTTCTAAGCTGAAGTATGTATTTATGGGATTTTTGATATGATCCAGTCACTAATACACGTTTCTGATCCTTGATTAACGTAATTATAGTAATATCTATTCCCAACTGGACGGTACTCATGATTAATATATATATATATATATATCCAACCTCCTTCAAAAAGCTAAACGCTCTGATGCAAACCAAACATATAGGCATTTCTGTCCTCTTAGTCATCTGACTTTACTTTACTTGAACACATAAATATTGGTACAAGGAATCATCGAATACATGTGCGCCACACAAGTCACTTGATTTGTGTGTGGGCTGGGATACTACTCGGGTGCCCAAACCGAATCAGGTAGTATGGATCTTACGGTGTTGCGACTCTGCAAACAGGTAATGACAGCCGTCTGCTGTAGCTATGCTGGTATAACCGTCGATTTCTGGGGAACACCAATTTTGAACTTGAAGAGAAAAATCATCTGACGTTGAGACCCCGACAATCGACTCATCAATGAAATTAGATAGATCACATTGCCACTAGCCATCATTGAAGGGGCTCGATAGAAGACTGTCGCCTACTGTGAAGCACATTTTTAGACTCGGATCATGTTCTAGTTTGAGAATGTATTTGTCTACATCTTACTGGACATAGAAATGCTACCGCGAAAACCCCCTTGGGGTTCAACTGATTGTGAGAAAGTTAAGGATATTTTTCAGGGACAAATGGAGGAGATAGTTAACCGTAAAAGTGATATCCACCCCGAGACAGTTTGGTATGATATTCAAAAAGCTGTGGAAACAGCAGTAATATATACTACTAATTTGAACCAAGAAGTTTAAAAAACCATTGAATTCCAGAGATGTCGACAGAACTGCTCGGAAACTCATCTCATCTGGCTCCAAGTACTCTGAAGTGCAGAGGCTACTTAAACGAACTCTGATAAAAACCTGCTTAATGATCGTGAGCATTGGAGGGTGGCGAAAGCAGGAGGTATGGACAAGTTAGCGGCGATAGGTAACGGTAGGCAACTGTTCAGACTTATCAAGGAATCAGGTATTAAATATATGCTTGTTAGTGAAACTATCTTGGAAAAAGACTGGATTATTGTTCTCTCTCGATCTGGGAAATTGAACGATGGATAGAACACTTTAGGGAATAGTTCGAGTGAACTTCAGCTACACTTCACTTACCCATTATTTTTATGCATCCTAAATGACGAATGGACATACATCTTTTAACTCTTGATGGTGCTGAAAAGGTTACAGGGAATCTGAAGCAAGGAAGAGCAACAGGGTCTAACGGGCTAACCTCTGAGATTTTTGAGAGTGTTGGTCCAGTTTTAACAGGTTATTTATTTATTTATTTTAGCACATAGATATCGGTACAAGGAGGCACCAAATACATATGCGCCACACGAATCT